CTCTCCAGAAGGCTGCCATGGTTAGGGATGCATCAGGTCAAAGCCAGGAGCCAGGAGTTTCATCAGGTCTCCCATGTGGTTACAGGGGCCCAAATGCTTGGGCCATCTGCTGCTGCTTCTCCCAGGCACATTGGGCCCACTGAAGTAGAGCAACTGGGGCTTGAACTGGTACCCATATGGTATGCTGGCATTGTAGGTGGTAATTTTACCTACTAGGCCACATCAGTAACTCCACCTTTGCCTACATTTATGCAGTTCAGTTTTGAACTCACTAGACACACACATCCAAAGCATTGTCCCGGGGGCACAGTTTCAATGTTCACAACTGACAGAGCATGGGCAAGTGATCATCAAGGACAAGTGCTAGCCTTGATGCAGGGCCCTCCTGCCCCCACACCTCCACCGCTGTGCCAAGCATTGCCCATGGTCACTGGCCCACAGAGAGCTTAGGCAGAATCCCGATAGAGGAGCTGAGTCCCAGGGCCAGTGTTGTGCAGAGTACTTCAGGAGCTCCTGGCACTGGCCATTATTAGCAGTGTGGAGATACTGGGACATTTCGACTCTGGTACAGCCATCCTGACGTAAGCCAGTTGTGTCTTAGCACTGTTTCATTATTATTTTTAGTACATTTGAAGGAAGACGGGACATGTTCATCTGCGGAAGAAACTCAGTCTTCATGTGGTATAAGAGTATCTTAAGTTCTTGCAGTCAGAGAGGGCCTGGCACTCAGAAGTTCAGCACCTTGGGGCTCCTGGCTCATGATGGGAATTTTGGGAGGGAGGAATGGAGGGGATGGAACCCTAAGTGGGCAGGTGGCATTGTGAGGGTGCAGGCCTTGCCATACATCAAGGTGCAGGGTATGTGGAACCCAGGAAAGGGTACAGAACAATGTGGGTGGTGGCACTGACTGGGCAGGTGGCAGGTGAGCATGAGGAGAAGGTGACATGGAGTACCTGAGGCCAAAGCTGCCCTCACCCATGGTATTGCTGTGACCAAAGCCACTCTGTGGATTTCTTTCTCTCTCTCTCTCTTGTCCTTTATCTGCATGTTGTCACTTGGAGAATATGGTCACCTTGGAGACTCTAGCCACAAGGTCTTGTGACTTTACAAAAAGCAATGTCAGGGTAGGTGTTTGGATTGGCGGTTAAGACGCTTGCATACCTTATCAGAGCACCCGGCTTCCAGTCCTGGCATGCACCCTGGGAGGCAGCAGGTGATGGCTCAGGTATTTGCATTCCTGGCAACCATGCAAAGTTCCCAGCTTCTGCCTGGCTCAGCCTTAGCCATTAAAAGTATTTAGGAGCATGAACCAGTGGGTAAGAGCTCTTTGTATCTGGCTCTCAAGTTAAAAAAAAAAAGTGTGTCTTTCATTCATCAGGGGCTATAAATGAACTCCTGCTCCCCAGTACACTCCTCCTCTCCAGGGATTCAACCTCTAGGTAGGGTGTGATGTGAGCAGAAGCTGGCTGACGATGGTGAGACAGGGCATCTCCCTAAAGAACATCCAGGCTTGGACAGAGAGCAGGAAATCCAATTTACTTCTCTGTGCATGGGATCTCAACATTGATCAGGATTTGCCAGGAATTCCAGGTCTCTTTGCCCACCCGGGGGCTGGACGGGATCCAGATCTTAGATTCTTTCTGGGCCTTTTCTAGAAAAAGCCTTGGGGACAAGTGTAATCCATTTATGGCCACTGTGCTGGTTGGGGTGTGGGGGCCCACCCAGGCCTCCAGGCTTGCTTGGGTCCTGAGAAGTCCAAGGGGGCATATCAGAACCTTTGAAATGGGGGTGCTATGAACCTCTTAGCTTGGCTCCCCATGGTCCTGAAGGGGACAGGAAAATGGCTGGTACAGGCTCAGCTACCTTATTAGCGATGTTTCCAGCACGTCAGGTGCCGTTTCCTGACCTCCCCACTTCCTCCCAGCAAAGGGTAATCATTGGAGTGCGTCTTGCCCCAAGACTCACAAGACTAAAGATAGGATAAACGTCCAGACGTGTGGCCTGGTCTATAGAAGGAACTGTTTCTTCCTGTGACTCTATCTCCACACTTTAAGGGGAGGCCGACGTTGTGGGAAGAAATGGAAAACAAAACAAAAAACCCCAAATGCAAATTTCAATTCTTCAGAGAGCCATCTCTGCCTGAGATGTGCTTGCGCATCGCTTGCTCTCTGCCAGTTCTGACTCGGAACTGTGTCGATCTGTCACATGATTCCTTTTAAAACTGGGCTCTGGCTGCCATGGCTCTTCCCACTGCCCATCTGCCAGGCTCCGAAGACAATCCAAGTGTGGGGTGGGCTGGGGCATCTGCCAGGGAAAGTGCTCAAGTCAGAGCAGAAGTGCTTGCCAGGCTGGATCCTTAGAGGTGATTTTATGATCCTAAGTAGATATCCCAGAAATCCTGTAACACCTGGAGACTGCAGGCTTGGCCATGCCTGGATTGTTGGCAGCAAGCCATGGCATCTTTCTGCCAGTGGGTAGGGTGTGAGTCTCCGTGGAGGTGGTCTCCAGGGAGGCTGGACAGGAGTGGGTGCGGGGATGAAGGCTGTGTCTTCTCCCTGTTAGCTGGGACCACCAACCAGCGGGCCTTTGAGGACCATTGGGTTCCCTCTGCTTGTGGCAGAGTTGTTGGGGGAGAATTTGAGAGGACAGCATCTGTGTGGAGCAGGGCGGGCCTCAGGAAGACAGGTGGCCCCAGTGTTAACCACTATGCAGAGCCTGCAATATCAGCCAGACATGGCCTTCGAGTAGAAAGAACACAATTTATTCTTTCTAACCCTCTTTCTCATCTTTTCTCTTTCAATGAGGAGGCCTTCAGGCAGGCTCTGGCCTTGGTTTATTAACTTCACGAAACAAAGCTTACTTTATTTTTATTTCAGTTAGCCAAATAAAATCTCTACAGGACAAACACCTCACCACAAAATATATAAATTAAAAGTTGCAGCCCACATTTACTCCCCAGCTGCCACATTTACATAAAAGACATCAGTTATAAATTAAATAAGTTACCCAGGTGTAGGATATTCTGTTAGGTCCAGCCTAGATCACCTACTTGCTCTCTAACTTTGTTCTGCATCCCTACTTGTATGCCACCTGAGGCTGTGGGCCTGCACACCGACTGGAATTAACCCCTTGAGGGCAGAGCACTTGAAGCCCCTTTACAAACCATTTGCCCGTAGGAGGGTTGGATTCAACAGTGGGAAAGCAGAGACCAGCAAAGTGAATTCCCAGGAGCCCCAGGCCACCTTGCAGTTCACCTGCAGGTTGAGAAACAGGAAACTCAGAGAGCAAAAGCAAGCCCTGGATGCCCTCAGGGCAGCAAATATAAATCACAGTGGAATCTGAGATCTGGAATATGGCCAAACTCTTCATTGTGCCAAGACACAAAGACACGGTCTCAGGCCAAATTTTACATGGGATCTCCAATTTCATTAAATGGGTCAGATTAATTCAAATCTCTTAATTGGAAAACAGACCTTTTGAGGGGCAGAATTGAGGCCACAGATGACACACATATAAGGCATATGTTACTAATCCCCTCCAAGACAGGCATCACCAATTGATCGCTGCACACCTCCACCTCAGGTTCCATCCTCATACAGCACTCCCAAGTGCCCTCTATCAAGCCAGGAGGTTTACCATTTGAGAAAATGAAAATCATTTACTAACTTCAGGCTTTCTCTATGTTCTGACATACTGTGTGTGGAGGAGGAGATTAAAGATAGGCATTGAAGTCTGACTCCAGTAAGACTCAGGTGCCTTGGAGTCATCATTTCACCACTCTGAATTCATGAAGTCTATTAAGTGGATAAGATCATCTAACTCAGAGTTGTTAGAAATATTAGGGTAACGTATGTAAAGTGCCTACTATCATGCTTGACACACAGCAAAGTATTAATAGGTGATACTTATAAGTATTATCTTATTACCATTTTAGGTTACTGTTGTCCACAGTGGAATTGACAATGGTATGCCCACTGAAGGAAGAAAAATCATAATATGATATAATAGGTTGAACCATGTGAAATTGATATCCAATGATTTTTGACTTAAAAAAATGGCAATTTCTTCTGATTTAATCTAACACATATTTCATTCAGATCACTTACTTGTTTCAACTTCATTAGATTTTTATCCCTCAAATTTGTTCCCAGAGACACATACCCACCATTCGAAGACTTCCTCCAGTCAGCTTATAAAGCAAGCAAAGCAGAAAGTCTGTGGAAAGAAGTTGAGGAACTGGTGTGTAGTTTTAGTACTTGTTCTCTACCTAGTTCTATGACATCCAAAGCCTGCATATTGGGGTTTTGTGAAGAGGAGAAGAGCTCATGGACAGGAAAGCACTTTGAAATGCTAAAATAATTGTACCAAAGCAAGGTATTAATTCCACTAGACAATGGCACTTTAGAAAACATTAGCATTCACCATTTGATGTTCAGGGTTTGTAGCAAAACTGCACAAGAAAGCATAGAGAAGTCATGCAATCATGCCAAATGGTGACCAAAGCTGATCTTGATGATACTTTGAAGTAGATCTTACAACTACTAAGTGAACATACAGTGCTCTGCCCTTGAAAATCATATCTTATCAAGGTGAAGTGTGTTAATGATGAAGTGAAAAATGCCTCAAATGTGGAGCTCTTAGATTTACACCAGAAACCACACACTTCAGACCAGCTCACATGGAAGACAGGAAGCACTTCCCCCTTCCTTAAAGGTCTTTCCGATGGGTGGAGAGAGTTCAGTTTGGTTAGGGTTTTGCCGCAACAAAGGGATAGACACTTCACACCCTCCCAAAGTCACTTTCACAAGAAAAAGCTTTAGTTTGCCTTCCAGAGACGCATTCTTCCGGTGTCCTCAGCCAGGGTGCAGGGGTAGTGAGGGAAGAGGGTGCAGGTGGAGCGGTTACGAGCAGAGGTGAGTGTGGCTCCATGCCATTCTTGGAGTTCCCTGCCTTCGTCCAGTGAACCTGGGTGAGCTTGGCATCCCTGGACAAGCTCACCTTTAATCAGCCTCAAAGGCGCTGTTGGTGGCTCCCACGTACTCAGACTTCTTCTTGTGCCTGGTCCACATTTTCCGGAGGATGCTGGGGACACCACACGAGGCGCTGCCTGTCAGAGGCAGGGAGGCCTCCGCCCCCTGGGGCAGCGTTGGATACTCTTCTGCCATTTTCTTGAGATGTCTAGAGCTGTAGAAAGGGCAAAGGGGCGCTGAGGAGGGCGTGGCTAGGGCCTTCCCCTCCTCTGCTCCTCCAGCCAGTGTCAAGGCCCTGCGGGCTTGGAGCGCCCCTCTTGGGATCCACCCAGGAATACCTCCCCTGGGGGAGTCTACCACAGGGACCAGAAGGAGGTGGCCCTGGGCGTGCTCATTTACGGAATCCTCTGGTCTACTCCTGCCCTCTCCTCTGGGCCTGGTCGTGCCTTAAGCTCTCCTTTCCTACCCCTCCCACCCGTGTGTGTGAACAATCGGGCTGCAAAGGGCAGGCACCCAGAGCAGCATCCACCAAAGGGCAACGTGTTCAGGCTCTTGGCTTACCACGTGACCTCAAGCAAGTGACGTCACCACACCAGCGCCATCTTTCTATACGGAAAATGGTGATAGCTCTTGTGGAGGAGGATGCTTTGCTGGATAAAGCATCCAGTATATTGTAGACCCTCAGTAAGTGTTCACTGTTCTCCTCCACTTGCTTAGATTAAAAAAAAAAAAAAAAAAAAAAAAGAAGAGGGGCTTACTTTTCGCTTTAGTAGCTAGGATTCAGGAAGAATTTGGAAGGAGAGTGGGTACAGGAGAAAGCAGGTATTAGCAATCTTTGCAGTGTAGCTACGTGTACTGAACGGTGGGTCTGTTAAGGCATGGGCACTTGGGCAGCCAGCAATAGTGGTTGCCACTGGGTACCATGCGCACCAGAAAATAACACAAGCCAGTGAACTTTCTCCAATTAAGTCCTAGCACACTGAGTTATTTTTATAATTCTTTCCAGGTGACTGTGTCAGCTGGAAGCGATCCACACCGTTCTGACCCTGCCCTGACTCCCACAGTTTTTATAGTGTGTTCTGGTTTGGGTTACTATTTGACATGGCTGGAATGGAATTTTTTCCCTCCAAAACTCAATAGTGAAATGTAATCCCCATGAGGAGATATTAAGAGAGGGACCTTTAAGAGGCTGATTAGCGCTCTGCCCCTGTGAATGGACTAACTTGTGACATGATTAATGGATTAGTGGACTATTGCAGAATCTTGAGATGGGTCTAGTAGAAAAGCCAGTTTGGCAAGCTCCTCTGCAAAGTCCTTGTGAAGTTCTGCACTGCCTCAAACACTCAAACACTGCAGTGAGACAGCTGCGCCCTGGACCAGAACCATGAGCAGCCATAAACCTCTCTTTGTTACCATCTCACCAGTGGTAGTGTGTTGTTAGCAACAGAAAATGGACTAAGACAACACTTTCATCTCATGATCTCTCACATGTGCTTTGAATACTTCCCCAAGTTCACGGCTTCCTAACTATTAGGTAGTAAGTCTCTAGGGAAATGTAAACCATAGTCTGTGCCAAGCTCTCCACAAATGGTCTCAATTCTCTCAACTACACTTCAAGATGAGCACTCCTATCATTCTTGCTTCTATATTTATTTTCTTTTCTTTTTTAAAATTTACTTTATTTACTGAAAGAATGATTGAGAAGGAACCAGGAACTCCATCTGGATTTCCCAAGTACTGGGGCCATCTTCTGCTCCTTTCCCAAGTACATTAGCAGGCAATGGAACGGAAATGGAGCAACCAGGACTCAAACTGATGTCCTGGAATGGGATGTCAGTGTTGTAGGTGGTGATCTAACTTGCTGTGCTACAACAGTAGTCCCTTTGTTTTATTTTAGAGATGAGGAGGTGAAGGACCAGATAATTTGCTCCAAGTTGAAGTCTGTGATAGCATGAGACATGGAAGTAGATCCTAGTTTAGAGGCTACACCTTCACCATCCCCTAATCCACTTTTTGGCTGCCTATGGCTGCTCTTCACGCCTGTCTCCTTGGCAGTGGTTGTGGTTCCGGGTTAACAGGAACATTGGGTTGTTTGCTGGATTTGCAGCCTTTGGCATTTTATACACATCTTCCACCTGGAGGCAGGGACCCCTAAGTTAACTCCTGTGGCATTTTTGACACTACTGTGTTCATGGGAGGTTCTGTATGTGGCTCAGCCACATTGGTTTCAGTAACCCAAGCCCTCCCCAGTGACACTTCTCCGAGTCTAAAGTGTGGTGTTAATGAAGTGGAAAGCATCAAAACCACTTCAGTTAAATCCTATGGGAACTGCTGATGAGCTGCTGCGCAGTCCTGGGATTAATGCCCTCATGAAAAGGCAATTTGCAGCTGGCATGGGTTTTGTCTTTACCACCATGAGAGTCTGAAAACCAGGCCACCTGTTAACTGTTGTGACCAGGGCTGGGGCGGGCAGGACAGGTGGTAGTAGTGGCGGCGATGGGGGGCAGAGAGGGGTAAGGAGGGGAGGGAGATTTAGAGCTTACCCTCTGGTCAGCATAGTCCTGTTTTCGGAGCCTGTGCCTGCTGCCTCCACGGATGGCACTGCAGGAGCTTTCACTGAGATCCGGGGCACCGGAGGAATCTGTGGCAGAGAAGGTGAGGGAATGTGGGGCGGTGCCCTGACTAGAACCCTCTTCCACCTGAGTGGGGATATCCCCCAACTTCAGCAGATTGTGAGGACAGTGCTGAGCCCAATCCTGTTTCTGAAGCAGAGCCGGGCCTGAGAATCTGCATTTCTAACAAGCTCCCAGCAGTGGCAGCTGCTTGTAGAAGCACTGACCTAAAGACCCCATCTGGGAGCCTCACTCAGTCACTGCAAAGCAGGTTCTTTGTCAGATATGAATGCAAGGTGAGGCCTGAGCATTCTCATCTTCAAGAGGTTTCCCAGGCTAGTGGTGGCTTTCAAGGGAGAGTCACCTGGCATGTCTTGTCTCCAACCAGACTTACTGTGTCCTCACCCCCAAAATGCTCCTCCTGGGCTCTGGAACCCTGGAGATGTTTCATTGCAGGATAATTGAAGGCTGTTCAAGGTTCCCCAACTCTGGATTTTTCACTCATCGTGGCCTAGGCTGACATTTCTCTGTCCTCCGATCTCCATAGCATATGCATAACTCGTACTGATATCCCACCTATTCTCTGGTTTGCCCAGTGTTTTGGTCCCCAGAAACCCTGTGTGGTGAGTGGCAGAGTATGGAACTTAGCTTTTTGGAAAGCCCCTTTGCCACGTGCAGAGGAGGTGGTGAGGACGCAAGCACTGACCATGAACCACAGGAGTCACCTGGCCTAAGTCTGAGAGACTCCTTCCTTGGGCATATTCTATGTCCTACTCTCCGCCCCAGGTCACCACATTCTGAACATCCCTGGGGGGAAATTCCAGGTCAAACACAGCAGGATCCCCCACCCAGGTCTCCCGAGCTGCTCCAAGGGTGTGGGCAGAGGGACTGTGCCACTTTGTGGTCTCTCCTCAGCATCTGAGTGAAGATAGGAGGGAATGTCAAAAAGTTTGTGGAAGATGCAATGAAAAGGTTTCTATTTTGGTGCAGAAATGTTTCACTTTATGCATTTGAGGAGCCTTCAAAAAGTTTGTGGCAATGCTTATTGTGAAAAAAAAAAGCCATGCATGGATTTCAACATTTTTGCCACAAAGTTAGTTTTAAATAAATTCCACTTTGTGGAAAGGCAGGGCAAAGGAGAGGGAGAGAGAAGAGAGGAGAGAGAGATCTCCCATCTGCCGATTTACTTCCCAAATATTCTCAACAGTTGGGCCTGGACCAGGCCAAAGCAAGAAACCCAGATCTCAGTCTAGGTTCCCCACATGGGTGGCAGGAACCCAGTTACTTGAACTGCCACCTGCTGCCTCCCACAATGCATACTGATAGAAAACTGGAGTGAGAATGGAGGCAAGACCCAAACCCGGGCACCCGGAATATATGGGATACAGGCTGTGGCTTAACCACTGTACCAAATACCCACACCAAAATTTATCTTTCAATTCCATTCCCCATGAACTTTTAGAAGTTCCCTCTTTCACCCAGCCCTGTTTAGCTGCAGAGGCAAAGCTTTGTTCTGAACTAGAGACTTGCATCCCCTTGAAACTCAAAGGTAACTGCCATGATGATGACTTTGGGAGTGGAATCTTTGGAGAAGAAATTGGTTTTAGATGAGGCCATGAAGGTAGAGTGTCTTATGATCAGTGTCTTTAGTTGAAGAGAAAAACTTAGCAGAGAACTCCTTCTGTTAGGAGACAGGCCATCCGCAGGCTGGAGAGTCAGTCCTCTCTCAGCAGCAGCTGCTCAGTCTGTGGACACCATGAGCTTACAGTTCCCAGCTTCCGGAACAGGGAGAAAAGGTGTGATCAACGAGCCAGTTCACCAGGTTTGGTTGGAGCAGCTCCAGCAGTGCTTGAGGGTACCATGCCTCCTGGCCCCTCTGGCTGCCCTGGGAACCGATGCCTTTCCTCAGGCAGAGCCTCTGGTTGAAATCAGTTCTTTCCTCTGATGGAAGTGGGTCTTCACAAAGTTGATGGAAAGTATACACTATCTTTGAACTCTATTTTCCAACAACTTTCTGAAGTTTCCTTATACGAGCTGGCTGTTGAGGTACAGTGCCTTTTGCTTTCCTAAATGTTGGATTTCTGCAGCAAAAATGTGACTAGGGGCAACCGATGGCCTTGGCAGCGAAGATGGCCAGTTAAGCTTTTCTAATAATCTTCAGACCAGGAGCAAGGGACAAGAAGTTCAAAACACAAGAGATAACAACGAACCAGCTTACTTCACTTACCAAGGATTTTCCATATGCTCGACTTCCACACACATGCGATGCTTTGGACTCTGAGATCCCCGCTGCAAAGTAGAACAGAAGAGGAATTACTCAGTGACACTCTGTATTCCACCTGTCCCTGCTTTTGCATCAGTTACCATGGTAGCCAGTCAAGCAGCAGAAGGAGGCAGTGGGGGTCAAGCCTGGGGAAATGACCCCGCTTCTCCACAGGGGCTGGAACTAAAGTCTAAGTAAAATCAGTGTCACTGTGGGTTCATTGTACCACTGTGGTGGACTGTGTTGATAAGGGCCGAGCATGGGAGGTAGCAGCGGGTATATGGGAAGTCTCTGTACCTCCAGATCAATTTTGCTATTACGACTCTGAAAGATCAGGCCTAGTAAGAAAGCCCACATATATGGAAGCATTTAGCACTGTGTCTACATGCAATAGATGCCCAGAGAGTATGTCCCAGCTCCTTCTTCCTTCCTAAGCCTCAGATCATAAGAAGTTATCAGGGTTAACTCTTTATTACAAAGATCAGTTGTTGAGATCAGTGACTTCACACGGTGCTCTGCTCTGTAAAACCGAGGAGAGGGCCTGCATGCGACAGTGGGTTACATCATTGCCTGCAACTCTGGCATCCCATATGAGTGTTGATTTGAGTTCCTACTGTTCCACTTCTGATCCACTTCCTAATAGCCTCAGGGGCTTCAGTGTTCAGGCTTGTGTAGCCATGTGGGAGACATGGATAGAGTTCTGGGCTCCTGGCTTTGGCCTGGCTCAGCCCTGGCTGTGTAGCCATTTGGGATGTGAATCAATGGATGGAAGATCTCTGTCTCTCCTTTCTAAATAAATAAAACAGAGGGTAGTAGTTGGGCCTGCTGTGGAAGTTCATCCCAAAACATGGAAGGAATGGGGTTTATCAAATCAGACATTGGCTGTCCTGGCCATACAAGGTGTGTGCCTGGCTATTCTTCTGCAGCCCTTTACTCCTGATAGTCTACTTCTAAGTAATGTCTGCCCTGAAACCTGCAGCATCTGAAGTCCAGCCGTTGAGCTGAGATAGACAGCAACAAAAGGTGGAGGCAGAATGGCTTTCAACACAGGGAGGCCCTGAGGTACAAAGGGGGAGAAGCCCCATCTTATTTTATGACAGCAGATAGGAAAAACCACATCTCAATGTTCATAAAATAAATAATAACAAAACCCTAAGACTGAACCACAAAGAACAGTGTCCTGGCATAAGTAATAACAGCAGCTCATATTGGTGAGTCTGTATTGGGCACTGTACAGAGGCACAAGTCAGAGAAACAGAGTCTGCCATGTGCATGGGCTCTGCATCCATGGAGTCAGCCAACTTCAGAGTGCAAATATTTAGGGGGAATAAATTATGTCCATTACTCAACAGGTGTAGGTATAGCGTTTTTACTCTTGCCATGATCCCCCAAGTGATACAAGTACAGTGTGACAGATATTTACATAGCATTATGTTAGATTTGGTTTCATAAATAATATGGTAGTATGTGCATAAGGGTGTGTATGTAAGTACTGTGCCATTTCACTGAAGGCACTTGAGCAGCTGCAGGCTCTGGTGTGTGCAAGGGTGCTGGCCAGCTCCCCAGGGTTCAGAATTAAGAAAAAAAAGGGGGAGGAAAAAGAAGTCTTCAGATCTCAGACATCCCCCACCTTAAGACACCCACAGCTTTCTGATAGGAGGATGGTACACCAGATGCCCATGGCTGGTGCCTGGCTGCTTTTGTGCAGAGTCCTTGGGTCTGGCTTTGACTCAGAAACACTCCCTCGCACCCCCTCTAGAATCCATCAGATTGAAGGAGTTGAAGGAATTGAAGCAGTGCCCAGCTCCATCTCTTTTTTTAAAATCCGACTAGCACACTCCGCTCATGAGCTGACAGTCACATGCTGGGCAGACTTCCTCCAGCTCAGAACTGACTGCTCTTGTCTCTCAGAAGGAAAGGCTGACCCCATCAGCCCAGATTGTCATGAACTACTCAGACCTGAAGGAAAGTGACCCCTAACGTAAGAGCTGGGAAGACGTAACACCTTGGGGAAGGAGGAGTGGCGGCAGCTAGGAAATCAGAGGCCTGAGGATTAATCTTGGCTCTGAGACAAACAAGCAGTGCGACCTTGGCTAGGTCAAACAGTCTCCATGATTTCAGTGTCCTCTTATGTAAACTGGCAGCGGGACAGCTGCGGTACATCAAAGGATCTCTGCTTCCAGCGTGCATCAGCCTCACCTGCGGTGCTTGTTAAGAAACAGATCAATCAATGCATTGGAACTCTGCGGTCTGAGTCAACAACATTCACATTTCTAAATTCCCAGATGCTCCCACCACTGCTGCTGGGACCCCGCTTTGAGAACCACTGAATTAGATCATCTCTAAATCTCTGCTTTTCAATCTGATGTCCCTGGAGCTTCTGGGAACTTATTGGAACCATGTCAGGCCCACCCAATCCTACACAATTAGACTCTGCGCGAAAACACAGTGATTCTTTGGCATATTAAAAACTGAGAAAGTATGACTCTAAATTCACTTTTTGGGACCAGAGTGTTTTGGTGCAGTGGGTTAAGCCACTATTGGGATGCCCACATTCCATATCAGAATTCCAGGCTTGAATCCTGGCTGCTGTGATTGGAATCCAGCTTCCTGCTGATATACCTGGGAGGCAGCAGAGGATGGCTCAAGTACCTTAGTCCCTGCCACCCATGTGGAGACCTGGATGGAGGTCATGGCTCCTGGTTTCAGCCTGGCCCTGCCCTGGCTGTTACTAGCATTTGAGAAGTGAACCAGTGGATGGAAGCCTTCTGTCTCTCCTTTCTGACATTCTACCTTCAAATAAAGAAGAAAATAATAAATCTTTACAAAAATGTTTTAAAAATAAATCCTCTTTAAGAGTTTGCAGCAAAGAGAAATAGTCTGTCTTGTTTTCTTTCCCCACACACATATGCCCACCCACTCACCTATACATAGACACAGAGAAAATTCTATCACTTAATTTGCAAGGCAGATTGTGGTTTAGCTAATGCCTTCACTCTCCATGCACAGACTTCTATGCAATCTCTCACAGCGAGAATATCACTGGATGTAGGCATTCTCACACTTAGGCTCATAAGAACAGGACCAAGTTGCCAGTGACCAAAAACAAAAGAAATAAACCCTCAGAGTGGGAAAGATGATTGAAACAAGTCTTTTGAGTTCTTATCATAAAGGAGTGCAAAACTGCTGATGTCCAAAAGGCTTTAAGAAGGACATCCCAGGCTTTGGTGTGTGTCTTTTGAATTAAAGCACGAATACCTGCGGGCAACATGGAAATAAGTTAAAATATCAAAATACCATGGTAGACTTCAATGATTACTGCTTGATTCCTATTCAACTGCTTGGGGTGGAAGCTATTCTTAAAAAAATGGCATTGAAGGTAAAACAATAGGGTACAGAGCAGTAGCCTAGTGGCTAAAGTCCCCACCCTGCGTGCTCCAGGATTCCATATAGGCGCCAGTTCTAATCTCAGTAGCCCCACTTCCCATCCACCTCCCTGCTTGTTGCCTGGGAAAGCAGTCGAGGACGACCCAAACCCTTGGGTTCCTGTGCCCTCGTGGGAGACCCGGATGAAGCTCCAGACTCCTGACTTCGGATCTGCTGAGCTCTGGCTGTTGCAGCTGCTTGGGCAGTGAATCAACGGATGAAAGATCTTTCTGTCTCGCCTCCTTTCTGTATATTTGACTTTGCCATAAAAATAAATATATCTTTAAAAAAAAGGTAAAACAATGTCACCAATTTCCAAAACAAATTTGTCCCTGAATTATTTTTGTAGCTTGCTAAATCATTAAATTTTAGTACGATGAGATTTTAAGACAGTTCATGAAGAGCCTGTGAAATCTCAGTTTCTCTCCCTCTCTCATGCACACACGTCTGTGGAACAAGGCGAGCTTCTGCTGCTTCCTGGGCAGTGGCTTTCTCTCCCACAGAGCATAACGGTTTACATCTCCTGCCTGCAGCGCCAGGTTCTGCTGAGCGAGACAGAAAGGTGGGGGAGCTTTATGCATGGCTCAAATCCAAAGCTAGCACTCCGGGGAGAAGACATTCTGTGGGGTGGCTTGCTCTAGGCAAAGCCTGAGAGGAGGAGCTTTGCCAGTACTGGAAACAGCATTCATTTGGGAAAACATCAGATGCCAGCTCACCTAGCACCTCACACCGCAGGTGCTTACTTGTCTGGAGTGCCTGAAGCCCCTGATATAGGGGTGGAGGACGCGGTCAGTTGCTTGCAATAAGTAAGGCAGGGCGCACATCGGCTGTTGCTGCCTGGTAGTGGGCGCAGAGCGGGTTCCCACCTACCGGGTCGGGTGGAGGTTTTGGCGGGATGTGCCCGGGGTGGCCGTGTATTCTGGAGGCGGCCGAACTTGCATGCCTCCCCTGTGTCCCGGCGGTCTCCGCGGTGCGGCAGCAGCTCCAAAGGCCTAGGCGTGTACAGGTCCGATTCAATCACCACCTGTGGGCACAAGAAGGGCAGTCAGCTCAGGCCTCTCCTCCTCCGGACACTCCCTTCCCCGACTCCGGACACTGGGGCTTTTTGCGTGTGGATTTTAGGCTGATGGGGGGAATGAAGGAGTCTTCCCCCACTCCAGCGTATGCTGGAAACATCAGACTTGTTTGCAGTTACATTAGGCTGCTGAGAGTGCCGTGGAGCAAGGAAAGGAGGGCTCTTGGGACCTTCTCAACAGCATCCCTTTGACAGAGTTGAGGGCCTGGGCCTCTTGGCTATAAAGCAGGGCGCTTCGCTGCCCTGTGTCTGGGAGGTTCAGCTTTCTAGATACTCTAGTGAAGGCAAAGGCCTTAAGCCCATCCGAGTTTCAGGTTTGACAAGGAAAGAAGCTCTTGTCAAAATGGAGCAGACTCCTGTTTTCTTCTGGGTGCAGAGCGTCTGTGCTAAGGTTAGCTGACAGCTGAATTTCCACTGGGAAGCCAGAACAGGTGCTAGATGCTATGATCACCTGCTGCTGAGTTATCTGGGAAAATGCAGCAAAGAAAAGCACAGTTGAATGGACCCCACACATTGTGACAAAAATAAAGGCAGGCTGCCATATACAGATTCAGCAGTGTCTTGAAAATATTCAAGAAAACTCCCCTGCATCTGCCCTGTTCATGTCCTTCCCCAAACAACGCAAATGAACAAGTATTCTACCAATAACATTGTTTGAGGTGCAAGCAATCTAGAAAAGATCTAAAAGGATACAGGAGGATGTGTGTAGGTTATATGCAAATCTATTTTGTGCTCTTCTGCATGGATTTCAGAATTTGGCACTAAAATAAATTTCCTTTAATTCCAGATTTTTGTGAACTTTTGAAGAATCTACAAATAAGGGACTTGAACATCTGTAGATTTTTGGTATCCAAGGGGATTCTGGAACCAATCCCCCAAGGGCACTGAGTGAGAACTGATTTTAAGCACATCATTGCAGTAATTTAAGTCCAAACTTTGAACAAACAAGAGAGGCCATTTTATCTTAATATGGGGCAGTCATGGAGCAGCTGGCAACTTGGCCATTTGGGCTCAGATCCTGCATGTTTTATCCACATCAAGGACGTCGGGTCCTTCTCTCTGAATGTCCTCACTCCCTGAAGCTCCCTTGAGCTCCCTTAGCCTCATCCTGCAGCCTCATGGGAGTTCGGGTCTGTGCCTTCCCCAGTTGTCCCACAGGGCATTTCTGCTGCCAGTCCAGGGGCTTCCTGTGTGTTGCCTCAGCCCCTTGCAGTCCAGGCTTTTGTGGATTTCCTCTGGCTCTCTGCATGTAACAAGTCATTCCTTTGGTGGGGGGAGCGCTGAGTATCAAAGCAAAAATGAATGTTTCAAAGATAGCTTGGCATTTGGACTCTGGAGAAAAATTGGATCTTTAGTAAATATTGTTGAGATAAGCATCAGGTCATTGGAGGAAATGGGTCCTTGCCTGCTCTGGGAATGATACCAGACAAATCAAAGCTGCGTGTTAAACAACAACCAGGGAGTGGGTGTTTGGCTTGGTGGTGAGCTCTCTGTGTCCCAAATCAGGCTGCCTCAATTTGGCCCCTGGCTCTAGGTCCTGATTCTAACTTGCTGCTACTGCAGGCCCTGGGAAGCAGTGGAGATGTCTCGAGTCATTGGGTTCTTACCATCCAGGTGGGAGGGCTGGGTCGAGTCCCTGATTCCTAGCTGCAGCCTGCGCTGGGCCACTGTGGGCCCTTGGGGAGTAAACTGGTAAAGGGGAGCTTGCTGTTTCTGTTTCTCAAAAATAATAAATAAACTAACAACCACAACAAATATAAGAATTAAACATAGCTCCCAATAACATCTGTTACATGCAGTGGATTATCCATCTGCCTAGAATGCTTCTCAATCAACAAAGCTAACAGAAATTAAGAGAAAAATTGGGTAAAAAATTAACTGGCAGTTGACAGTAAAAATACAAATAAAAAAGAGGCTGAATGATATTATAATTCATTAAATGTAAGTTAAAGCAAGGATGTTTTCTCCTATCAGCTTGTCAGTGATGAAGAAGATAGGACCACTGGGGGTCAGGCTAGGCTGAGCACATGTCCCAGCTGGACACTTGGTCCATATGTGGAAAGGGGGTCTTTCTGCACTTGCTGGATGTGGCACAGTAAATGCTTGTCATGAGTGGGGTTTCACGCGTGCACCTCGCTGTCCTCACACTGCATGTTTCTCTATGCTGAGAGCAGACCTACATCTTGTGAAGACCACATCTTTACGTCCCCCATAGTGGATAAGAGAAGCTGTCACTTTTGCATTGAGAATTATTTCAAATGCCATCTTAAATGGATTAGGAAATTGACTTCTTCTAGACCCATTTTGGGAGTTGGGCTCATTTATTCACACTCCCCTCTGCTCTCTCCTTCCTCAGCACTTTGTCTGCTGTGAGACTGCCCAGCACTGGGCGGCCCCAGGGATGTGGGTCTTCAGGTTGAACAGGAGAGACCTCAGGCTTTTAACACCCCCACTTTTCTAACATCCTTTTTTTTAAAGGTTTATTTAATTTTATTACAAAGTCAGATATAGAGAGAGGAGGAGACAGAGAGGAAGACAGGAAGGTCTTTCCTCTGTTGATTCACTCCCCAAACGGCCACAATGGCCGGAGCTCAGCAGATCCAAGACCAGGAGCCTGGGGCCTCTTCCGGGCCTCCCACACGGGTGCAGGAATCCAAGGCTTTGAACCATCCTTGACTGCTTTCCCAGGCCACAAGCAGGGAGGTGGAAGGGAAGCAGGGACGCTGGGATTAGAACTGGCACCCATTTGGGATCCTGACGCATAGAAGGTGAGACCTTTAGCTGCTAAGGTACTGCTCTGGGCCCTATTTTTTTTTTTTAAGATGTTTACTTATTTACTTACTCAAAACGTAGAGTTAAACCAAGAGAAGAAAAGAGATCTTCTATCTACTGGTTCACTCTCCAAATAGCCACAATGGCCAGGCTGAAGCCAGGAGTAGGGGCTTTTTCAAGGTCTCCCTTATAGGAGCAGGAGCACAAGCATTTGGGCCATCTTCCACTGCTTTCTCAGGCAGATTAACAGGGAGCTGGGTTAGAAGTGGAGCAGCCAGGGCTTGAACCAGCACCCAGATGGGATGCCATAGCAATAAGGTAGTTGCTTAACCCATCAAAACACTAGTCCCTTACACAAATTCTTGACTTTAAAATGTTTTTCCCATGATTCCTCTGAAAGGAGTGAGCACTGTGTGTGTTTGTTTCCCCTTCCATGTCTACTTTGCAGGAGATAATAAGGCAGGAAGTGAAGGATTGGGAGGTAGTCCATGGTGCTGGCAGTTAAAGGTCTGTAGCTACACAACCCACCCCTACGGTCTCCTAAACTCAGCAGTTTGGTCCCCAAAGTTTTTAGCTAATGGTACTGAGAGAATGAAAATAGAAACTAAGATGATTGGGTTGAGGGGTCTCTAGGAGGTGATTAGCCTCGTTATTACTTGGAATCCCCATGATTAAATCTTGGTGGCTCTGTAAGAGACCACATAGTCAGGGACACACACACACAAACTGTCTTTTGCCGTCTGGTGCTCTGAGCCACCTTGGGAATCTGAACAGAGATGAACGAATAGGGCATTCTGACCTTGGACTACAAGCAAAATGAGTATTTTTCCTTCATCAATTAGCCTGGCTCAGGCATTCCATCATAGCAATGAGAAGCTGACTCATACCCATGGGAGGACTCGGTCACCCTCCAGCATCTCCTGAGTGAGGCAACTGTTCCTTTTCAGGAACAGCTTCCCAGTCCCTTCCCTGCACCAAGGTGGCAGAGAGCAGAAAAGGCCTGGGCCTAAGCTCGGCTTGCCCCAGGGAGACAGCTGAAAGGATGCTGGTGAGCTGCCTGGAGGCTCCTCCCTGACTGTCTGGTCTTTAGGATGCTCTCTTGGCTGCTGCTGTTGGAGCAACTGGCCCAGTAGCAGCTCCTGTAGTTTCCTACGCATCAGGCAACAGAGAACTGGAGTGGGCTTGAAGGTGGGGGGTGTTAGAGCGGAAGGGGAAGGAGAAGTAGGGTTTTAATGTTGGGATTTTCCTTTTTCAGGTCAGCTAGCTGCCTGCTGGGGTTGGGGGAAGGCACCAGAGAAACGATCTTTACTGCAACAGATTGCTGCTTCTCTGCTGGTCTCAGAGAGCTTGGAGGTAGAACAAGAAGACCCTGCTTACACTCCAAGCTCCAGAATTTCATCTACTGACAGTCATGCTTGGCTTGTTTGGCAGCTGAGAAGGCTGGCTGGGAATTAGTACGATAGCAAAGATCTGTGTTGTGGAGAATCATCAGTGGTTTAGGACTGAAAGTATCTGTAGAAATGTTCTGGGCCACTCCCTAATTTAACACAGAGGGAAATTGACACCAAAGAGGGCTGTGTTCGGCTCAAGGTCAATTGCTGGAAGGGTGAGAATCATGTTTTCATGCCTCCTAAGTGAGTGGGTTTTTTTTTTTTTTTGCTTGTTTGTTTATTTTATTTTATTTTATTTTTTGTAGAACTCACAGAAATGTCTGTATTCAGATTAGAATGTTCAAGAGCAACCGATTACTCAGTGCACTTAAAAAAGAAAAAAAAAAAAAAACCAACCGGGAGATCACCATACACAGCTCTCTCCCCCACAAGCTGGAAATCTGGAGAGAACGTGACATTTGCAATCTCATTTCTCCATCTTCCCTGATGACAGCCAGGCTGCTAACTATGGAAGGGCTGCGTGTCACATGCACGTGGCTCCCGTGCCATGACAGGCTGAGCTGACCTGTACCTTCGCATTGATACCCCTTTGGTTCTGGGTGCATCAGAAGGATCACAATAAAAGTGCTTAGGAATCACAAAGGAAAAAGCCTGGAAAGACTGTAGCCAAGGGACGGGATGTGAATGTGTCCTGGATTCAAAAGAAAACACAACTCCAGGAGAGTTAGAGAGGCAGTCTGCCCCTGGTGGTAGCAGGTGGAAAGGAAGTGAAAGGACTCTGACTTC